CGGAAACGGAAAAAAAAAAAAAAAAAAAAAAGACAAAATAACATGCAATACCTCATCAAGAAACAGACGGGGCAATGGCGTTCTTTTGTCCAGGGCCACAGCAACACGGGAGGCCATGCAGTACCGTCGAAACCAAGCCCACTTGTGTGTCTCAGCACAGCAAGGGAGAGTGTCCAGTTCCAGGTCACAAGCAAGAGCTACTAGCACCTGCATCCACCAAAATAAAAAACACTGGGATGGTGAGAAACACAGCTAACGTGTTGAAGATGAGCCAATTGCCACAACCGTTGTCCTAGGGCTTCTGTGGGTCCTCACTCAGGAGCACCTTACTCCAGGCTGACTGCCTCATGTCCAGGAAGTGTTTTACCACCATCAATGATGCAGTTATTTCCAACAGTTCCTAGATGCTATAGGTCAAATGTGTCCCCCCACACCACAAAAAGTTTCACGTACTGGAAACTAGATCTACACTGTAACAAGTGTTGATGATGAAAGATCCTACTATAGTTATTTGAAGAGAAGATTAGACTGGGAGGACTGTCCCCTTGCGAATGGATTAATCTATTTATAGTTTAATGGGTGGTCATTGGCATGGTTATGATGGCTTTATAAGGAAAGTGAGTAAGCAGGTTATTTCTCTCTTGCTCAGCCCATTCGCCATGTGATACCCCGCGTTGAAGAAGGCCCTCACTAGATGCATTCCATGGACTTTGGACTTCTCAGCCTCCAAAACTGTAAGGAATAAATTTTATTTCTTTATAAATTACCCAGTTTCAGGTATTCTGTTATAAGCAACAGAAACAGACTAATACAGAAAACTTGTACCAGATGTGGGGTGTTGCTTACAACAAATACCTGAAAATGTGGAAGCAGCTTTGGAACTGGGTAAGAGGCAGAGGAAGAATTTGGAGGAGCAGGCTAGAGAAAGCCTACATCCTAATGAGGTTTTAGAAGACAAGAAGACCAGGGAAAGTTTGAAATGTCTTAGAGACTGGTTAAATGGTGGTATCTAAAATGCTGATAAAAATATGGACAATAAAGGACATTCTGAGGAGGTCTCAGATGTATTGGAAACTGGAGCAGAAGCCACACTTGTTATAGAGCTGCAAAAATCTTAGGTGCATTCTGTTCATGCCTAAGGGCTTAATGGAATGTAGAACTTGTTATGAACCAGCATATTTGGCAGAAGAAATTTCTAAGCAGCAAAGCACTCAGAAAGCTGTATGGATAGTTGCAACAGCCTATGCTGAGTTATGGCAGAAAAGGCATAAGGTAAAGCAAACATTTATAATTAAAAAGGAAGCAGAGGGTAAAAAGTTGGAAAACTCTCGCCCTGGCCATGTAAAGAATGAAACCAAGAAAGGAAACCAAGAGTATAGCCCAGGGACTGTTTGCAAAGATCAGGATAGAAAGAAGGGATTATCAAGAGAAGAGAAATAAAGTTTTGAAGGCATTTCAGAGATTTCCGAGGCTGCCCCTCCCATCATGGGCTCAGAAGCCTAGTGAGACAGAATGGTTTCAGGGAACAGGCCCAAGGTACTTTCCATGGGTTTGCTGCCCAGGGTCACCTCAGGATGCTGCTACCTGCACCCTGGCTGCTCCAGCCATGGCTAAATTGGAACTGCAGCTTTGGAAGATGCAAGCTGGAAGCCTTGGCAGCATCCACATGGTATTAAGTCTACAGGCTCACAGAATGCCAGAGCTGTGCCAGTCTCCACCATATCAGAAGATATATGGAAAAGCCTGTGACCCAAGAAGAGATCTGTCACAGGGGCAAAGTCACCACAGACAGCCTTAACTAGAGTAATGTCAAACAGAAATGTGGGGTCAGAGTTGCAGCAGAGAAAGCCCACCAGAGCCATGCCTAGTATAGCTATGGCAGCAGGACCGCCACAGAGACCTTAGAACTGTACACCAGCCTGAAAGAGCTGAAGCATGGCCTGAGCCCAGGAAAGCCATAGGAGAGCTGCCTGAGGATTTGGAGGCCCAACCCCCACACCAGTGTGCAGAGGACAGGATATGGAGTCAGGGAGGTTATTCTTTAGCTTTGAGATTTGATGACTGCTCTGTTGGGTTTCAGACTTGTTTGGGACTTGTTACACCTTTCTTTTGGCTCATCTCTCCATCTTGGAATGAGAATTTCTCTTATGCCTGTTCCTGCATTGTATTTTGGCAGTAGATAACTTGTTTTGATTTCACAGATGGGACTTTGGACTTCGCACTTTTTGAGCTGAAACAAGTTAAGACTTTAGTGGTGGAATGAATGTATTTACCTATGAGAAGAACATGAACTTTAAGGGCCACGGGCAGAATGTGTCCCCAGAAGTTCATGTGTTGACTTCATCTACACTGTAACAGTGCTAAGAGGGTGGGATATCCTATTATGGTAATTGAAAGGTAGGGCCTTCAAAAGATGATTAGATTGTGAGGACAGTACCCTCATGTACCCTCATAATGGCTTAATCCATTGACGGTTTAATGGGTAGTCATCAATGTAATTCTGATGCCAGTTTCTGGCATTCCATTATAAGTAACAGGACCTCAGATCCAACAACTGCTACAACACTTGTTGCCTCTGCAAACTAACTAGAAGGCCTATGCGCCTCAAAGCATGCTAATGCTCAGCTAAAGACGTAAGGTATAAGGGTGTAGACCACACAATTAATTCTTGAGATTTTTCATATTCAACTTCAGCAATACCTACAACTGCCCTAACAGGCCCAAAACATGGCACGCTGCATGTGACAGCTCTCAGTGGCTCTTCCATCACTTTAAAAATAAGTGAGATATTACCTTAAAGAACGGACTGTGCAGCAGCTGCTTGCCACCTCTCACAATAGGATCTTCATATTCAAACTGCCTTTGCAAAGCTTCTGGAAGGCCTTTCACCAAAGCAGCAAGAGCACTGCCTGTAAAACTCTAAGAAAATAACAAAGTCATATTCTGCTGCAGGAATCCAAAATGCAGGGAGTTCACAGTTTGTTTTGTTTCTACAAGCAAAGCGTTTTGCTGTGTTGATACTATTCCCCCTAAAAAAATGCTTATTTACATTCTCAAGTAGGAAAAAGCCCAAAGGACATGAACACTAAAAGAAAAAGAGGGAGTCTGAACATTCACCTCAAACGTTTGGCCTCAATCTCAGTATAGCCACCCAGGGAACCAGTCCCTCTCCGGCCTGCAAATCCTGTCTGTCTCATGTGGTTAGGTTCAACAGGAGCTTTCTTTTCCAGCAAAATAAAGGGGATGTGTCAGGCAGACTGATCGTTAAGTCCAATAAGCACAATCCTATATTCACAGCTGCTGACACACTGATTTTTTTTGGCCTTTTTGAGACCGGCCGCACCGTGCTCAGCCAGTGAGCGCACCAGCGGTCATCCCTATATAGGATCCGAACCCGCGGCAGGAGCGCTGCTGCGCTCCCAGTGCCGCACTCTCCTAAGTGCGCCACGGGCTCGGCCCTGACACACTGATTTTTTTTGGCCTTTTTGAGACCGGCCGCACCGTGCTCAGCCAGTGAGCGCACCAGCGGTCATCCCTATATAGGATCCGAACCCGCGGCAGGAGCGCTGCTGCGCTCCCAGTGCCGCACTCTCCTAAGTGCGCCACGGGCTCGGCCCTGACACACTGATTTTTAAAAAATCAAAGTCCAGCTTGACTTAGTACATGTAGCAACATAAGGAAAAGCCTACATATGACAAAGGCCTCCTTATTCTTGCGTAAATTTCCCAACTCTTCTCACTGACTTAAGAGGTTTAAATGATTAAAGCAGCATTTTATTCCCAAGGGTGACAGGTCTAGAAATTGTGTAATGAAGCTCCATACCAAAGCTCTTGTTTCCCCATCATTTTCTCCAAGCAGTCTATTTATGTTAATTGATTGCCCAAATTCAGTTGTAAGCAGCTTTCTCAATCTTTGAAGGGCCCACATTCTGTGACTGGCAGCTGAAATGAGCAGACAGAAAACATCAGAAGCTTTCCCATTTTGCCAACTAGGAAGACAGACATGGCAGCAAAGGCGACACTTACCTAAGGCACTCAACTGTGCGCATGCTGCTAGCGAGGCTGCCAGGCGAGGGACAATGCTTCTGTTGGAGGTGAGATTGAGGCGGAAGTCTAGCAGACACGTCACCAAGTCCATGGACGGACAGGAGAGGACGCAGCGGTCAGAAAGGAGGTCTTTAGGGCCTGTGGATGAGCACTGTGAACATCCCCGTGCTTGAAAAGGTGGGAGTCCCCCACTAGGAGACACATTAGAAATGCGACTCATACAGGGTAGCTCCCACCCACCTGTAATGCAGCAGAAAAAGCTGTGCACATCTGCCTAAGTCACATAAGCCATGCTCTTTATGCTGAAATTTTAACTGTAATCAAAAGCCTTAAGAACTGCAACCAGCAACAATGTTCATGTCGGGTGAAGGCGCAGTGCTAGCACCCTGAAAGCTGGATGGCTGAAGTAGCTCTTTGTGGTCCTGATCCTCACCTCAGTGGGTCCTCTGGTGGCCCTCCCTCTCCGCTCCCAACATGGCAGGAGAGGGCAGACCATAAGTTACTCAATGGAAAACATGCATGGTCCCGTGTGGCTGGGTCACAGCTGTAGCCAGTCACCAAAGCTTGATGGCCATCAGCCCCTCCCTACCTGCGGCTGGCATGATGGGGTAGACTGTGAAGCGCCAGCCCCAGCCGTTCACAGAACCATCACTGATGAACTTCCACTTCAGCTCATCCCCCGGGATGCGGAGCTCACTGGACCAGTCGGACCACTCTCGGCCTGCAGAGAAAAGTACACCCTGGGGTTAGGTTCATGCCATCATCCCAGCAACACAAACTTCTTCAGATAAAAGCAAATTCATTTAAACCTCATCTGAACAGTAGACTCCTTCAACCCAAGTTCCCAGGTTTAAGTTCACAGCAACACGCCACTCTTGGAAATCATGATTCAATTTACCCTGCCCTTCAACAAACACTCATTTAGCCCCCAATTAAGTACTGGCAGAAGTGAGGGCGGACAGGCAATGCCCTGATGGAAGCCACTACCCCAGAAAAGATGATCACATATGCTCAGGGGCAGTGCAAGGCCTACAGGGCCAGCCAGCGCACACCCAGGTCAGAACTGTGGGGATATTACCTAGGGAAGGTCTCATATAATGGCAACATAAGAAAGAACTGTTCCCATAAGGGTACATGTATGTACCTTCAGTATGGCCAGGAAGAGGCCACCTGGGAGCAGCTGTGGAGAGGAGGGTGTCCTAGAGCAGGTAGAGAGACCCCAGCCTGGCTCTGCTTTAGAGGGACCGTCAGGCAGCATGTGGGGGCTGCCTTCGGAAGACCCATCACTGTTATCAGCCTACAAAGCGCGGCATGTTTACTACCTGGCCCCTTACAGGAAAGTTTGTCGCCCCTTGCTCAAGATGAAGGATAAAGAGGTCTGAAAAGATGTGCACACCCCAGTACTGACAGCTCTCACATGCCCAGTAAAAGAGCATTCAACAAGCCCTGCAGATGGAATGATCTGCCCCCGCGGACCTCCTGGAACATAAGTAGGGCAGAGAGGAACCCATACATGCCACCTCCCACCTGCGCCAGCTCCACCCAGCACACGCACACAACACTCACTCCATATACAGCTGAGCCCTCCCCGCAATCAATGAAAAATGAATCCCTTTTAAAAGCTTTGTCGTATGCCAAATTTCACCTCGCATGGCCTGGCACCCACACATCTAGTGTACTTCTCCACCATCTAAGCAAGGCTGGCCATGTCCCGACAGGCCCCTCTCATGCTGCCCACTCAGCCACCCACCATCAGCTGTGTACTGCACACTCCACTCCGCAAGGATACTTACCTTATTTAAATTATTGGAAAGAGGCAAATGAAACCTACTGCACTTCACAGCTGAATAGCTTACTGTCCCTTCCTTAAGGCTCCCTCCCATAAGAAGGAAACAGCAGCATTCTGTCCTACAAAGGTTGCCAATTCTGTTCACAGAGGTGGTGGCAGCAGACTGTGCCCTGCTCAACCTCCCTTCCTCACCTGACCGCACAGAGACAATCCTGTTGACACCATCCATGACAGTGAGAGGGTCGTGGCGCCTCTCTGTGGAGCACTGTCGGTCAAACTCCACCCTGAGTCCCTCTGCACCTGGAAGACAAGCGAGCACACACCACAGAGTGACTTCTCCCAGCTGGCACACCACAGCCATGGCACACCATGATGAGACAACTGTGTTTAAAAGCTACAGGCAGTCAGCAAGAATTAACCTCAAAAACAAGAACCTAAGACTGACCATCCCCGTCCCTACACCACCCTCCACATAAGAAGATGCCTGCACACTGAAAGGCCAGAACACACTTCTGCTCAGCCAATTCATTTTGTGCTCTCCCTCCAGGCAAATTTTCACAATGCAAGCCCTATCCCCAGACCAAGAATTATAGCAAATTGTCGAAACTGAGGAAGGGGCTATGGGAACACCAATTTGTAGCCCCATCAGACAGAAGCTGTGATTAACCTGGGGACCCACTACTTGCAATTGGTGTTGAAGTTGGGGCAGTCTCGTCCTGTGGGGTCTGTGCTAAGTGTGGACAGTCAGTGCCAGAACTGAATTGAACTGTGGGATACCCAGTTGGTGTCCACATAGAACTGGAGAATTTCTTGGTGTGGAAAACCCCCACACTGGGTACCAGAAGAACTGTGTGTAGAGAAACAGGGGGTTCCCTTCAGGCTGGGACATTTTTAAAGACTAGCAGAGGATAAGGTGGTAGGGCCAGGAAAAACGCACAGGAGGGAGGGTGGAAGGAATAGCATAACACAGGCCTCGGTCAGGAGCATGGATCCCATTTTGAGGTTACAGGTGTGTACTGATAGACTTTACACAGAGTACCAATAAGAGTAACTGCTTAAAGTTAACAAGAAAACAAACAAACAAAAAAACTAATTTCACATAAAAACAAGCAAGATACTGGGCTGGCCAGTTAGTGCATTTACGGCGTTGGTGTCACCAAGGTCACCATACCAGCCAACAGCCAGAAAAGAAAAGAGCAAGATAAAAGTATCAAGGCCAAATCCAATACAAAGTTATTGTTAGAAAAGAAAGAATAAGGAACAGAATAACATCCCTACAACAATGAAAGCAGGCCGGAAAGATGTGTCTATACAAGACATAAAAGAAAAACATAAATCAGAATTAGGAACACCAAAACACTAAAAAATAAAACTCGGGAAAGAATTACAACTAAAAAAAATTCCGAAATGGTGACTAAACTAGAAAGAGTAAAAAATCAACTAAACACAACAGATAATGCCTTAAGATAGGAGAAAAAGAAAAAAAATTTTAAAGAAATAGAGTTAAAAAGTATTTGAGAGAGGAAGTAACCAACATTAAATCTAAAAGGCATCCAGCACATGGATAATGACCCTCCCTGGAAAAGAGGACCAAGCAAGGCAACAGAACAAACACTACAGACTGGAATTCAAGACAGTGTCCTGAAAGGGAAGATGTGGAACTGCATTTTAAAGAAGCACACCCCTTATCTGAGAAATCAGCTGGACCAACATGAACACACATTGTAGTAAAATTACTGAAAAAAAAAGCACATGACAGGCCGGCCCGGTGGCGCACTTGAGAGCGCAGTGGCGCTCCTGCCGAGGGTTCGGATCCCACATACAGACCGGTTCCCGCTCACTGGCTGAGTGAGGTGCGGGAGCAACACCGAGGGTTGTGATCCCGTTGCCGGTCCCGGTCCGGTGCGGGTGCGACACTGAGGGTTGCAATCCGTTGCCGGACACGAAAAAAAGGGAAAAAAAAAAAAAGCACATGACTTAATACAGGAAAAATTTGTTATCATCACACTTATGTGGGGGAAAATACATGATTCAAAGATTTAATATTGAGAAAAGGCACCTTTCAAGTTCAGTGGACACAAACTCTCTTAGACAAGCCTGATCTTAAGGACTGCTGATGACTTTGCTGCAGAGTTGTGTCCTGAGTCTGTTGTAAATATCACGTGGGATAAAGTAAAAAATCATGAGACATTCTATCATCTGTCTTGGAACCAGGATTTGGTATGGAAGAAAAGAGACGCAGATATTACAGAAGAGGTTAAGTGGAAACCCTGTACTTTAGAATTTTTAATCAAAAGTATCAGCATGAACTAAAATGAAAGTCAGTTTGTCTGTCCATCCACCCATCCATCCTTTCTCTGTCCACTAGAAAGGCCTAGAAACAAGGACAGTAGCAATGAGTATCCCAGAACCTGGGCTGTGATCTTGAAATGACACCTTCACTAAAAGAAACCAGGGCAGATCCCAAGCAGAGCGTGGAAACCGGTAAGACAAGCCTTGAACACCTTGCAACACCAGACTATGTGGAAGTTATCAAGGGACCACCAGAGTCATTTCAGGAGCCATACTGAAGAGGCTGCCACTGTCCAGAGATGGGTGATTTGAGCTTTAATGAGGATAATGATCACAATGAATTAAAACCCATCATCTGTGTTTCGATCCATGAAAAACAACTGGTCACTTTCAAAGAATGACGAAAAAAGACAAAAAGGAAAAAAAAAAAAAAGAATGATAGGGAACTAACTCATTCTCTTGAAAACTGGTAAACAGAAGGGAAGAATCAAGCTTTCATCCTGCCTTTCTTATGCAAACAGCACACCTGGGTAACAAACTGAAGGATTAGGAGAAAATGTTCTTTATCAAGTATTCCAGCTAATAAATAAGAAAGAAATGGCTCAATTAGAATAGCACCATTTTGCAGCCCCCAATGGATCAATGGCCTCAGGCACTGAGTGCCAGTGGCTGTCACATTGCAGAGGAGAGGCAAGGAGACACGGTAGCCGCCTGATGCTGGGTCACCATCTCCACTGGGCTTGCCAAGGGCTGAGCCAATGCAGCTCTGGATCAGGTGCTAGCTGCAGAAGGATGGGATGAGGAACATGCTGAATTACAGCAGGAATGTGCATGCAGAGGACCTGGGAGCAGGGAAGCTTGGTGGGTCCAAGGCCCTGGTGCCTTGACACATGAATTGACAAAAGAAAAGAAAAGAAAGATGCACACTTGGGTAATAGAAGCTGTCTAGAAATGCAAGTCAGCGATGATGGCTCAAGGGCAGGACGTGTCACTGCAGGAGGACACACACAGGGCTTCTAGGGGTTGGCACAGGTTACATTTAGACCTGGTCTTGATGACCAGGGTACCACTTGATCATTGAGAAGCTAAACATTTACTTTCTGTGGCTTTCTGTGTTATGTTTTATTGTGCAATGGGTTTCTGGAAAAGGGGGGAAATGATTCCACACCAATGCTGTAGCTTTTCTTCTATGAAACGGAAATGTAGGAGCAATGACAGAATTGGGCTGCTCCACAGGCAGAGGGCCCTGAAGCTTTCCCAGGGCTGGCCCAGTCAGTACCTGGTATCTTCACTGTGCCGCTGGTGGAAGTGTCATCGGTGTAGGGATGGGTGCTCTCCACCACCACGGGCTGAGAGGAAAGACGGCCGCTTTGTGAGTCTGTGGCAACGTCTTCCAACTCAGTGACACAAAGCTCCAACAACATATCTGCCACCTGGGAGGAAGCAGGGACACAGATGAGGAGGCTGACTGGCCCCACACCTGGGCCGTATGAATGCTGCCCCTGCTTGTCCTGCTCCAAATCTATCCACAGGGACAGGGTTGCAGAATGGAGGACTTGGAGTTTGCAAAACTGAGTTCAAACCAGGGCTCGGTTTCCTCACCATACCATCAAGACAGTGCAGAGCTTGCAAAGGTACTGAGAAGCTCAGAGACAATATGAATACAAATAGCCAGAAGGCGCCTAACATACACTCAATACATGCCAGCTGATAAAACCTAACAGCTGTGACAACAGTTTCTTCTCACACCAAGACAAGTCTACTTTCTGGTGAGGAAAGTTTATCAGGGGAAGGGGCAGAAAGCTGACAAAATGACCAGAATCCTATAAGGCACTGGGAGTTGAGTGGGAGGGGCAGGAATCACCAATGATGAAGCATCCAGGATAAACAGTGGCAGACAGGGTAGCTGAAAAAGGGGGCTATGCATCATATGAACACAGCTGGGGGATTTCTCTCCCTGGCACACTAAAAGCCGCACCCACACCATATTCTCTCATCCATATGGCCTTATTTTACTTTAGGAATTTAGTGGTGATTCAAACCATTTAAGTGGTTAATGATGGTGATTATAAACTCCTTCATTGCTATTTTTATAAACAAATGAGAATATGTTATAACAGCAATAACATATTAATCCCCAAATTTTTAATTCATAAAAAATAATTCTTCTCTACACAATTCCTATTCCATACTTTTCAGGAATAGATTTTTCTTTTTGTCTATTTTTCCTCACATTTAGATAACAAATAGCTTAGCTTAGTAAACAGTTATGTTAATAAACTATTATCATTGTCATGATTTTTTTTAATTCAACTGTCTTCTCTTTTTTTAAAATTCCAAATATTAGGTCAGCCAGGACACAGGCGTAACCATCTTGCCAAATTGGGAAGGGCAGTTTGAAGACAACTGGGTCCTTATTTCTGTCTCTCCTGGAACCTGGCTGAGTTACTGAAAAGCAGGTGTTGGCATCATCAAATGGCATTCCTCTGCAAAGCCCATCACCTTGATTTAATCTTAGAATTATGTCAAGTAACTTATCTCAAAAAACCAGAAAGAAGGAAACCTATAACTTTTTAATTCTTCCTGAATACATATTAAGAAATAACAAGCCACTAAAACATCCCCCAAAGCATTTACTAATTTTCAACACCACTCAACCACACTTTAGTGCTTTGTCATTTTGGTGACATGGGGCCCAGAGAACCACAGATGGCATGTCTGACTGGGAATGCTACATTAGGCTCCCTGGCACAGCTGGTTCTGAAAAGGCAGAGTATGGTTGCTGATAACAGAGTCCTGAGGGAAGCCCAAGGACCAAGCACTGATCAGTCCTATATCTAAGATATACCGATATAATATTGACTTCATACTTTAGACCTGTAGTCTAGACCTATTAAATAGCCACTAGCCACATGTGCCTCTTCAAATTCAAATTAATTAAAGTTAAATAAAATAAAAAACTCAGTTCTTCAGGTGCACTAGCCATATTTCAAGTGCTCAACAGACACATGTGGCTGATGGCTAAAGTATGGAATGGCTCGGGTACAGAACATTTCCACAATGACATGAAGTCCTACTGGACCCAGTGCTACCAAATATTAAAATGTATTTTAAAGCTATAATAGTTAAAATACTGTATTATTAGAGCATTAAGAGTTATAGCAATGGAACAGAAGAGAGTCTATAAATAGATCCAAATACACACACTGGAATTTAAAATGTGACAAAAGTAGTTTTCAAATCACTGGGGAAAAGATGTATTATTCAATAAATGATGATAGGGCAACTGGTTTGCCATTTAGAAAAAAATTAAGTTGGATCCCTTTATTCCTTACATCAAGGTATATCCTAGATGGCTCAGAAATGTAAACATACTAAATAAAATCATAAAGATGATTAGAAGAAAACTTGAGAGAATTTATTTAAAAGACTGTCATATAAGCAAGCATTTTTCAGCATAATACAAAACCCAGAAGCCATAAATGAAAAAACTTGCAGATCTGAGTACATAAAAATTAGAAATTTCTACATGGCAAAAATTATCAAAATAATGTCACAAGGCAAACCGGAGGGGGAAACTACAAAATATATAACAGATAAGGGACTTATTTAAAGAACTCTAACATATCAGTAAGAAAATGATCCACAAACCAATTCTAAAACAGGCAAAAGATGGAATAATTACATGCTTTGTTTTAAAAGAGTGCTTTCTAAACTGCCTCTGCCAGGACGAAATCCAGCACAAGATCAAGTGTGGTCAACAGCAGTATCTCCCTGGAGAGGTCAGCCCCACATAGGGAAGGGAGAGGGAGCAGGGTGCCCCCACTTTTCCTGTGACTCACCTGAGGATAGGCAACACCCATGCCGGACAGCACAGCAGAGAGCACGTCCCTGCCCCTGTCTCCAGCCCGGCTGCACACAGACAGCTTGAGCAGGTCCACCATGACGCGAGTGTCATCTGCGATAAGCAGGCTGGTAAATTCATCCAAGGACTGAGGCTCCGGGCCCGAAGCTTTGTTTTGGCTTTCAGCACCCTGAAGTAATGACACCCAACAATGAGAATGAGGAGTATATGAAGAGAGAAAGAGGCACCAGTTTACCCATAATCTCAAAGGACACATGACTACCAGTGGGTAAGGAAATTTGAGGCGTTTAAGACCATGAAATATAAGAATGACAGGTCCCTAAAATCTCCAACCAGCCATAAACTATTTTATGAATTACCAACAGCATCTGTCAAAAAGGAACGTCTTAAACTATAACAAAATAATGACTTACTCCTGTGACCAAGTTTGTATCACAGTAGACATTACAGGGGAGACTTGGAATGAAGACACACTATGTGAAATCTACCCCTCACCAATGAGGTGTGCTTGAGAATTTTCTACCAACTAAATTTGTATACTATATTTTACATATTTTGTCTGATCCTTCCATAACTCTTTCCTAGACTCTCACTTAAAGTGACTCATTGGCATGTAAGACATTATCCATAATCTCTTGCTCCTTGGGTTCCTTGGATAAGATATACAAAATAAAAGTCTTCTTACTTTTACTTCTATTTTTTTTTTCTTTTACTCTTTTACTTCCCATTCCCACTATGTCAGCTAAAACATCTGTGATAATTCACCTTTTCTCCTTTTCAGCAGAGGAAAGGGGCCCGTTTCTTTGCTGTGGGCTGTTTCCCCAGCACCACTGCAAACTCAGCCTCCACCCTAGAGGGTGTTTCTCCCAGGACAGCTGCCCCCACCCAGGCTGTCCAGCACACAAAAGCCTCTTAGAAGTCAGCTCCTAGAAAGGGGAAAGGCAGTGTCAGAGCCAGGGAATCCCATAGTTCTGCCTCTAGAGTGGGAATCAGTGTGAGCCTGTGCAAAACAGGAGGGAACCCAAGCTCTTCACACTCCCCAGGCAAAGTCTGGCTCATCAGAGTAGGAGCAAGAGCCAGAGAAGAGCCTCTTCCCCTCTCCTGCTTTCCAGACCTGGGCAAATCCAGTGTAACTCTTCTCAGAAACAGAACCCACAGGGGAAGCACCACCACCACGGGAACCTGTCAAGCACATGACCTTCAGCGTGTGCTGGAGACCACACCTCTCTGAGCTAGGAACAAGGTTCTCCCTCTGAGAACAGACCCTGCTTGTGCCTCTGCATGGAGACCCACGGAGTCAGTAAGTGAAATTCATTAGAAGTGATGACATTCCAAAATCTGACTCACAGAAGAACAGCAAAAACATTCAGTGGATTATATTAAATATACATAGTATCTTTGGTCTTGTAATTACAATGGTACCTAACATTTTCTTTTGGTGAGGAAGTTAAAAAAAACATAGAAAATGCGTCTACAGAAACTGCTACAAAAGAAAATCACTAGTAGCATATCCTTAAACATGAATTATAGCCCAATACTAACAAGAAAATTACTTTGCCATAATTTATGAATCAAAGCAAAAGTGAAATGATAAGAATTCAGAAGTATAATTTGAATAATGCCTATGTCTCATAAGTAAATTGGTGGGAAAGAAAAAAATCATACCATCCTTTTTCTACCTAAAAGCAAAAATGTTGCTTTCTTCACAATAATTTCTGCATTAAAACTCTCATTCCAGGAGACTGCCAAAAATCAGAAGTTAATTCAAGACAACTAAATTGTAGTGACTTCCTTATTACCATGGATGGCTATGAATAATTTCCATAGGACATATTTTCTGCCAGCAGTAACTGTAATAAATCAAGGGTTCCAAATGTAATTAAAATAATGCATGTCTGTCCCCAAGGGGGTCACAGGCTGGCAAGGAACAGACTGTGAGCAGGGTGAGGTGGCCTGGTGTGGGGAGTGCTGGAGTGGGGGTGCACCTGTGGGGGCAGCTGGCATGACAGAGCTGGGCCAGCCAGTATGAAGGTCAGGCTGGAGGAAGACTGGTTTTGAGTGCCAGAGGCGCTGCAGAGGAAGACAGGCACCAGACAAGAAGGGGATCAACCTGTAAGTGAACAGCCCACTGATGACACAAGTCTGGTTTCTCACTTTCAGAGAAAAGAGTTATAAATGCAGACACGGTGAAAAATAGAATGAGTCCCAGCTGGATCAGAATTAACTGTATTGGTGCAAACTAGTGGTTTCCAATATATGTAGACATAAAACGACGTAAATACTGACACACGTATCTACTGTGCGCACACCCAGATCTTGGTTTCCAAATTCTACAATCCACTAAAAGGAACCAGAACCCCTTGGAGAAATGGCTGATTCCAGGGCAGAGTCAGCGTAGGTGTGAGACTTGTTTGGAACACATTGTTTTGCCAAGAAGTAAGAAAGTGTTGAAAAAATTATGAGGACATGTCAGAAAGACAAAGGAACCAGCCCAACAAGCTCCCAATGGCCAACTCTGGGACAATTTGAGTGTCAAAGGATTATAGTAACAAATGTCACTGTTTGAGTCACATAATTTTTACCATACAAATAGACAGATAGGAAGTAAGTAGATAGCAGACAGACAGATGAGAAGAGATGCTCTCCCTTACAAGAGAATGGCAACAATTACATTCCAGAAGGGATGACAAAATTTAAAAATAATCACGAGACAATCACCACAGTAATAATGGATTCAGCAAGAATAATCAGTAGATGATAAAAATTGGTGGGTGAAAGTATGAGGAGAAACAAGATGTTTACACATTCTCAAAATATCTTCCCATGAGTCCTTATTAACACACTTATTAACGTCCAGTGGAGAAGCCTGGCAGACACCCTTAACCATGTGGTAAGGGCAACATCATCAGTAAGCAACGCAGCACCTCAGCAGTGCACGCATCCCCATGGGATGCACTGACAAGAGCTCTGCATCAGTCCTATGGTGTGTCTGTCAAAGTGAAGGACCACGCTGATAATGAGAGTCACAGCATGCAATCCTAGGTTGGGTGCTAGATCTATAAGGATGCTTTTGGGACAACGAGCAAACTCTGAACAGGTCTGTGGATTAGAGAGTAATTCTGGATCAATGTTGATGTCTTGATACTCAAGAAACACCCGCAGAAGCATTAAGGAACAGGAATCATGTCCTGCAACATCCCCACAGATGGCTCAAAAATGTTACAACAGGAGAACTTAGGTGGATGGTATATGGAGTACCCTGTGCTCTATTTCTAAATACTATTTCTGCAACTTTTGTGTGCATTTAAGATTATTTCACAATAAAAACTTAAAGAGTGCCTATAGACCTCTTTGGCTTTGGTCATGGTTTCTGCAATGATGCTGGCAGCTCCTGGGTCATCCGTCACTGGAATAAATGGCCGAGAAGAGGCTGAGGGAGCAGATGGGGTCACTGCGGAGGGGGTCACAGCATCCTCAGAGGAGACAATCTAATTGGAGAGTAACAGGAAGGGGAATTTAGGTGGAGAAACTCAGTAATATGGTATACTTCCTACACAAGTCCAAAGTGTCTCTCTAAAGAGACATGAGCAATGTTCCAGGTTTCACAGAAGTGACACGATGCTTATATCATATATCAGCTGCCCTCCCCCAATCAGGCCCAGGGCAGCCCTGCAAAATCAAGTACATTCATATTTCCAGGAAAATCTATTAATATTCACAGCAAATCACATGAATCAGACTAAAATGAGCTCCCATCTCTGCAAGTTGGGTCTTTCCCCAAAATAAATTTCGAAAATTTTTGACTTTCACATCTTTAAGTTTTCAGAATTGCAGATAAAAGACTGTAAACTTGTATCTAAAGACTTTTTTAAAGGATAAATCTACTTCCACTTAAAAAAGCTTTAAACAGGACATCTTCCTAAGACAAGCCAAAAAATCAAAGCAGTATGCACAGAAACAGCCTAACTTAAGTGACTGAATGAGAGTTTCCTACACACATGGTAGCTCCCTTTTCCTATCTTATATGATATTGCTTCCCTGTTTTATGGTTCACTTTTACCTCTCTCTTTTCTTGCCAGAGATTTGGACTCAGTCGGTCTTCAAGATCAATTGCCAGCATGCACTCCTCTCCATTCATGGGACTGGCCATGGCAGACGTGTCGGAAGGGGGTGCTGAGGAGAAGGAGGGACACTCCACCGGGGCGATCATGCCAGCCGGCATCAGGGCGCCCACCACCGCGTCTCTGTCAGAACAGAAAACCTGGCTTGCTGAGCTGCCCTCTACCATGACTGCATGACAGGAGGGTGCCAGGCAGGACAAGTGCCCACTGAAGCACTTCCTCATCTCCACAGAATACGTGTAAAAGAGTTTTGGGAAAATACCAAACATTATTACTACATATCCATCGTCTAAAAGCAAAAATGTTTACTCTGGATCGTATTTAATTGAATAGCCACAGTAATGACAGGTGAAAACTGCCAAATGTAAAAATCAGAACAGAACAAGCTTCTATATCTCCCTGAGAAGCCCTAGTGGGCTGCTGTTAGAGCGTGAAGGCCGGATAACTAAACGTCAGGGAATTCTGTGTCTACGGAAAGCCTGCTATATACCAGGAAGCAAGGACTAAATGTCCTCTCAATGACCGACTTGGGCTTTGTTCTAAAACTAATGTTCCTATGTAAGTACATGTGCCAGGTCCACATCCATAACAGATTAATAGATGGCCACCTCACATAGGCTGAGAGAAAACAGTACCAAAACATGTAAAAGACAGCACTGTGACCTCTGCCTTACTCAGTGAGCAAAGGGAATAAGTGGTCTCAAACATCACTGTGAATTAGTACCAACTAGTTCTTCTCTTCCCCCAAATATTAATGCTTAGAGTTTATTGACCAGAAAGAATAATGAAAATATTATTTAACTTGGTTTTTTGACATATTTCAACACCAATTAAAATAAGCACAAAGATACCATATATCACCATCAAAGAATACGTGACTTAAAACTCATAGCGTTTAAAGACATTAAAGACACAACATTCTTGGAGACATCTAATAAGTCAAAAAATTAGAAAAACCCAAAGATTACATAATTGCAGGATTTAAAAAATTAGCACAAGAACCTACCTGGCATACATGATTTGCAGAGCTGTAAGGACATGTGATAAGGCCTGCTGTTTGGCCAGGTTTCCATCCAATGACAGGAGAATCTTGGCAAGAGAAGGGCGATTTGGCTTAGAATTATTTGCACCACTTATTTTATTACTGGCAGCAGAAGAATCAGCATCTGAAGGCACACCTAAGAAAAGGAAAATAAAATTTGGGGTCTATTTTTAAGACCACAGTTTGCTCAATTTCTATAACATCTGACCTTTTAGCTTAGTTCCAGAACACTGCACTCTGCATTTTGCTATTTCACAGATTATGTATTAGGCTCATTAACGGTCTTTTGGAGTTTAAAAAAAAAAAAACACACTTATTTTAGTTTATCTACACTTCTGTAAAGGAGCTGTATTCAGCGAAGGTTCACGAGTAACTGCAAAAAGATGCAGACACTGTTACAAAACACACTTACAAGAGTTTATGCTATATACCTATAAGGGATCTTCAAAAAGTTCATGGAAAATGCGTATTATGAAAAAACTATGCATGAATTGCAAAACTTTTTTGGCACCAAAATAAACTTGTACTAATTTGTCTGAACAGGATCTAGTTTGAGGCACCAAGAAGGATAAGACATCAGTTTGAAAACAGCCTCTATCAGAGCAACATGAATTCTGCTAAAATTGAAGCAAGAACAAACACCAAGTTTATGGTGAAGCTTGGGTGCAAGAATGGTGAAATCACTGATGCTTTACAGAAAGTTTATGGGGACAATGTCCCCACAGAAATCCACTGTTAACAAATGGATGACTCCTCCACTGAAGAAGGGACTAGATAATGTTGAAGATGAAGACCACAGCAGTGAACCATCCACATCAATTTGTGAGGAAACAATTAACCTTGTTCATGCCCTATTTGAAGAGGACCAGGGATGAACAGCAGAAACAATAGCCAACTACACAGAAATTTCAACTGGTTCAGCTTACACAATTTTGACTGAAAAATTACAGCTGAGCAAACTTTCTGCTCAATGGGTCCCTAAACTGTTGCACCCAAATCAGCTGCAGACTAGAGTAGAGCTTTCGTTGGAAATTTTAGACAAGCGGGATTGAGATCCTGAAGGATTTATGTGAAGATTTCTAAAAGGTGATGAAACATGGCTTTACTATTACAATCCTGAAGACAAAGCCCAATGAAACCCATGGCTTCTGAGATGTGGAAGTGGTCTGGCCAAAGCAAAAGTGAACAAGTCAAGAGAAAAGGTCATGGTAGCAGATTTGGGGATGCTCAAGACATTTTGCTGTTGACTTTCTGGAGAATGATAACACCTGCTTATTATGAGAGTGTTTTGAGGAAGTTAGACAAAGCTCCACTGGAGAGTCCTTCTCCAGCAAGACAATGTTCCTGCTCATTCCTCTCTTCAAACAGGGGCAATTTTGTGAGAATTTCAATGGGAAATCATTAGGTATCCACTTTACAGTCCTGATTTGGCTCCTTCTGACTTCTTTTTGTTTCCTAATCCCGAAAAGTCTTTAGAGGGCACCCGCACCCATTTTTCTTCAATTAATAATGTAAAAAAGACTGCATCGACATGGTCAAATCATAAGGACCCACAGTTTATTAGGAATGGAGCAAATGGCCGGAATCATCACTTACAAAAGTGTCTTGAACATGATGGAGCTTCTGTTGAGAAATAAAGTCTATATTTTTTATTTTCATCTTTTAATTCCATTTTTCCACAAACTCCTTGAAGACCTCTTGTATGTACACTACAAGTTGCTGTGCTCCCTCCCTCTGCCTGACTTTTCACTTGTGCCTCGAGGTCACCTAGGGATGGAGAAATGCCCTACTGACTCATTGCACCCTGCCTGCCCAGGATCTGTAAGTAATAAATATTTGACTTGTTTCCTACTATGGTTGTGTACTGAATATGTGTCTTCCATCTGAAGAACCAGGGGCTACCCCAGGACAACTTTTCCCTAGGATACTGGGGAGAACAAAAGGTCAGGCTCCCAGAACCACAGTGACAGTCAGACAGGCATAAACTGGACACCAGTCAGGCAAGAGCCACAATGGCATCTGCCAGTATAGACAAGTTTCCTGTGTGAGGGACCCTCTCAACATGGGTTGGACAACTAGGCATTAGGCTGTCACAAAAGGTGCACTGTAAACACCTGTGCCCACCTCCCCTTCATTTCCTGTTATGTATGAATCTCTTTCTTATAGCTTTTTCACAAAGGTTTCTAACCATATATCCAATGTTGCTTTGAAGAGGTTTTCCTATACTTTTTTTGGAACAAGGATACTTGTTCCAAAGCACAGTTTCAGTAAGAGAAATGAAAGTTGTATTTTGTGGTGCTTTATATCACTAAATTACACTTGGGATTCCTAAGCCTTTTTGTACTAGAACCCAAAGCTGAGGCTCTCAGAACAGCTACAGACTACAAAACAGATATAAAAGAAATCAAAGATCTAAATAAATATAGATACAAACTGTATTTGTGTAATGGAAGACTCTACATAGTACAGATGTCAATTCTACCCACATTGAAAGATTTTACACAATTCCTATCAAAATTTCCCATGTGAGTTTTTATAGATTTAGACAAGATTATTCTAAAATTTATATGGAAAGGCAAAAGAACTATTATAGCTAAAAAACTCTGAAATAGAAGAAAAAGAGTAAGGGCAAAGAATCAACCTCAATTTCAAAAATTATTATAAGTTAACATAGTTAAGACTGTGTGGTACTTGCACAAGAATCAATGGACTAAAACAGTGAAGCCAGAAATAGACCAATATAAATAAATATGCCCAACTGATTTTGGACATATGTGCAAAAGCAATTCAGTGGAGGGACAGCCTTTCAACAAATGGTACTAGAGTAACTGGACATCCATAGGCAATAATGAATAAATAAATAAATCTCAACCTAAGTCTCACACCTTATACAAAATTAAATCAAAATGGATTTATGAATTTAGAATAAAAAACAAAACTATAAATCTTTTAGAAAACATGGGAGAAAATCCTTAGGATCTGGGACTAGGCAAAAGTATACTTGGACTTGACACCAAGAGTACAATCCAAATAAGAAAAAACTGATAACTGAGACTTCATCAAAATTAAAAACTTTTGTTCTATGAAAGAGAATGAAAAGGGGCTGGCTGGCCAGCTCAGTTGGTTAGAGCACAGAGCTGATAACATCAAGGTCCAGGGGTCAGTTCCTGTATTAAGAAAAAAAAAGGAAGAAAAAGAGAGAGTGAAAAGACAAGCTACAGACTAGAAGAAAAATTTGTATACAACATATCCGACAAAAGACTAGAAACATGTAGAATATATATAAAAAACTCTCTAAACCCAACAGAAAAAAAATCTAATTAGAAAATGCCATGAAGACATATTTTACCAAAGAGGAGATATGGATGGTAAATAAGCACATAAAAAGATGTTTAGTAGGGCCGGCCCGGTGGCACACTGCTACAGTGCGCTGCTTGGGAGCGCGGCGGCGCTCCCGCCGAGGGTTCAGATCCCACATACAGACCGGTTCCCGCTCACTGGCTGAGCGAGGTGCGGGCGCAACACCAAAGGTTGCGATCCCGTTGCCGGTCCCGGTCCGGTACGGGCGTGACACTGAGGGTTGCGATCCGTTGCCGGACACGAAAAAAGACAAAAAGGAAAAAAAAAAAAAAAAAGAAGATGTTTAGTATAATTATCCATTAGTAAAATACAAATTAAAACCATAATAAGATTTCACTATACATCCATCAGAATGGCCAAAATACAAAACAGTGAGGAGGATACAGGAAAAACTGGTCACTTATCCACTGCTAGTGGGAATATAAAATGGTACAGCCACTCTGGAAAGCAGTTTGGTAGTTTCTCATCAAACTAAACATGTAATTACCAAGTGACCCAGCAATCGCACTCTTGGACATTTGTACCACAGAAATAAAATCTTATTTTCTAACAAAAACCTGTATATGAATGATAGAGGAGGTTTATTTGTTAACAGCCAAAAACTAGAAATAATCCAAATGTCCTTCAATAGGTAAATAGTAAGATCATGGAATACTACTTGGTAATAAAGAGGAATGAAGTATTGACACATGCAACAACTTTGGTGAATCTTTAGAGGATTACACTGAGTGGGAAAAGTCTATCTCAAAAGGTTACAAATATAATGTGGCATGAAAAGAGCTATACATCAAGACCAACATGGAACGATAGTAACATAAACTGGAGAGTAGACTGGGGTCAAGCCCATCTTAATCTACCTCAGAAAAGGGAACAGCACAGGAAGGCTGAGTAACTTGCTCCAGTTCATATAGCTGGTGACTAGTGAAGCCAGGAGATCACATTCCAGCTATGCATAACAGCAGCTGGTACTGGGGACTACATGTCCCCTCACAAGACAGAGAAGAAAACATCATGATACTTATATGAGAATTTCTTCAGAAAGATGAAGTTCCCTTGGGCTGGCTGGTTGGCTCAGTTGTTTACAGGTGGTGTTGCTAACACCAAAGTCAAGGATTCGGATCCCTATACAGGACAGCCACCAAAAGGCAACAACAACAAAAAAAAGATGAAGTTCCCTTAAAAAAAAATCAATTGCATTTCTATACACTAACAAGTAGCAACTTGAATATTCCTATACCATAGCAAGAACCAAGTGATATATAAGTACCATTTATAACAGCATTAACAATCTGAAATACTTAAGAGATAAATCTGACAAGAGAGATACAAGACCTGTATACTAAAACTACAAAATATGCTGAGAGAAATTAAAGATCTCTACAAATGGAGAGAAACTTACAATCATGGGTTGGAAGATTCAATATTTTGAAGATGTCCATCCTCCCCAAATTGATTTATGGATTCAGTGCAATCCTGACCAAAACCCCAAGCAGGCTATTTTATAAAAACTGACAAGCTGATTCTAAAAGTTATATGGAAATGCAAAGGGCCTAGAAAGAACAGTCAAAACATATGTGAAAAAGAGCAAAGCTAAAGAACTACCACAATCTGAGTTCAGGTCTTCCCTAAAGCTATAGTAATCAAGACAATCTGGTACTGGCACCAAAATACACAAATAAATCAATGAAACAGAACCAAGAGTCCAGAAACAATCTGCACACACGCAGGCAACTGGTTTCTGACAAAGGTGCAAAAGCAATTCAGTAGAGAAAGGGGTTTTTCAACAAATGCAACAACTGGGTATCTATATGCAAAAAAAAAATGAATTTCAATTCAAACCTCATACCATATATAAAATTTAAGTCAAGACTAAGCTTAGACCTAAATATCTAAAGCTCTAAAACTTCTATAGGAGAACACAGGAAGAGAATTCCTATCACACTGAGTTAGGCAAAGGTTTCTTAGACACGACATCAAAAGTGTGATCAAGGGCCGGCCCGGTGGCGCACTGGATAGTGTGCTGCTTGGCTCCCGCCGAGGGTTCGGATCCCATGTGGAGACCGGTTCCCGCTCACTGGCTGAGCACAGTAAGGGCGCGACACCGAGGGTTGTGATCCCGTTACCGGTCAGTAAAAAAGACAAAAAAAAAAAGAAAAAAAACACTGGCTGAGCACAGTAAGGGCGCGACACCGAGGGTTGTGATCCCGTTACCGGTCAGTAAAAAAGACAAAAAAAAAAAGTGTGATCAAATAATTGAAAAAAAGGATAAATCGGACTTCATTCAAATTCTAAAATTCTGTTCTTTAAAATTAACTTGTGAAGAAAATAAAAAGGTCACATTAGGAGAAAATATTTGCAAATATATTTGACAAAGGACTTGCATCTAGAATATAAAAAGAACTCTCAAATGCATTAAGAAAGCAACCAATCTATTTTGAACAGACATTCACCAAAAAAGATTTGAAAAGACATTCACCAAAAAAGGTATTTGGATGGTATATAGGAAAGATGATAAACACCATTAGTCACTAGAGAAATGCAAATTAAAACCACATGACTTACCACCACACACCTATTAGAATGTCTAAAATTAAAGACTAACCATATCAAGTGTTGGTAAAAATGTGGAGAACCTGCAGCTTTGGAACCACTTTGCAAACAGTTTGTTGGTATCTTACGAAGCTAAACATACACCTACCACGTGATAAAACCATTCCTCTCCTAAGAATTTACCCATGAGAAATGCAAGTATATGTCCACACAAAGACTTGTACATGGAGTTCTACCAGCAGTTTTATTTGAAGAGTCAAAAACTGGAAACCCAAATGTTCATCAGCAGGTGAACAAACACACTGCAGTACACTCATAAATGAGACACTACCCAACAATAAAAAAGAATGAACTATTGATACGTGTAGCATGGATGAATCTCAAAATAATTACAACTGAGTGAAAAAAATGAGATAAAAAAGAGTACATGCTATATGATTCCACTTACATAAAACTCTAAAAAATGCAAATTGATTTATAGTGGCAAGTCAGTGGTTACGGGAGAGAGCAGGAGGGAGTCAAGAGTGAGAGGGAGGGGCTGTGAGTGGGCAGAACAGAATTTTGGGGGTGATGTATGTGTTCATTACCTCTGATTGTGGTGATGCTTTCACAGCTGCATATATCTTTGAAAACCAATTAAAATGTACACTTTACATAGGTGCAGTTTATTGTATGTCAACTATACCTGAACTAAAGCTGTTAAAAAAATACAAAGTGGCCCAGCACAGTGCCTACACTAGTATCTCTGAAGTAGTTATTGTTAAGAATCTTCTGTTTGCACACATGTACAGCACTGCCAGGATTAACCTGATCATAAATACGAGAACCAGCATCATTATTCTACATTTTCATTCCAGCATGCATAAACCACAAAAGAGTGCACAATGATTCTCCTGTACCTTTGGGTTCGTAATGCAGTGAACACAGTGCTACAACCTCTGATCTGCCAGCAGTATTAACAATCTATAACTTTACTGCAATCCATAGAAGGAGCTCAGAGAAGACACAAATCTGTTACCTAAATAGGAAGCACCTAAAGGGTCCCTTGCAGTCTGGAAGAGGACAGGTTCGTGGACAGAGGGTGTAGCCATATCAACGGTCGTCCACGCTACGCTGTGTGATGATCCACAGGCCACTCGCGTGATCTTCTGGCCTTCTAAGCCTTGCACAAGGGTGGGCTTTCTATTCACCGTGGTCGTGCCATTGCCCTGCTGGCCATGGTCATTGTCACCCCAAGCGTACACCTGTTGAAGGGGAAAAAAACCTTACAATTTTTCAGCATTTCAGAACATTTTCTTTAAATTTACTTCAAAATGCCCAAAGTATATGCCATGGTACTTGAAAGAATTGAGCTCTTAAAGGTAAAAAGAAACCATTTCACAAAATGGCAGCTGTGGGCTACATTTCTAATGAAAATTTAACCATGAAAATATTTGCCAATGACTATAAACGAGTATTTACTTAATATGCATCCACTTAATTCACCTACTGTTTCCAGGAAGCAGGGAGGGTCCCCTGTTCAACTTAGTACAATAATTTATTTTTTCCTTTATTTTGCAAAGAAAAGTGATCAAAAACAATATGTTCATTTCTCAAGTAATTTGCTTTTTGGCTTTACAGAATTACAAACTACAATTCATTTCTAATTCATCTTGATTAAAAACTACTATGCTAGTTTTGTTTTCATAAATAAATTTTAAAATGTAACATCCATGAGCCAGTCATGGTATATACCTCTTAAAGCAGAAGAATGAGTAATACATGTCAAGTATTAACTTCATTTCCAAAATGAATTACACAACACTCCCCATCAGCTATCAATTCTCTAAAGTAAAATATTGCTAATACCTTAGCAGTAGGAGCACCTCCAACAATAACAATCTTCCCACATTTCCACGTGGACTTAGAGTGGGAAATCCCACTACTTTATATAACACACATCAGTCAACAACTTCTTCCTGAGTGCCCTCACCCTAACCTGTACTGACAAGCAGCAGGTACAGTGAACAAAATGGACATAGTCCCACCCTCCTGATTATTCAAGTCCTAAGACTCATCTTATTTCATCAAGACATAATTTCGACAAGACAGGAGCTATGTCATGATGGCCACTTCAGGATGGCCAGCCACTCTGAGGCTCCCACAGCCTTACCTGCCCTGAGTCTGTGACTGCCAGGCAGTGCAGGGCCCCAACAGCCACGTGCACAATCTTCTTCCCTCTCAGCCCTTCCACCACCTGCGGCTTCCGCACATGCACATCAGAGCCGTGGCCCAGCCGGAAGTAGTCCCCCTTCCCCCTAAGGAGGTCAACGGAGCAAGTGTTACTATACGGTCACAGTCTGGCAACGCTGCCCAAGAAAACACTCAGGGCTTCCCACCCTTTATAGCCAGCTCCATGACAGCATCACACACCATGTTCTAAAATCATACACAATTAATTTAAATTCACTCTTTCATTCTGCTAGCAAATCCTTAATATTGTAATATGTGTCTTTAAGTATTTAAGTTACTGATGTAGGTTTTCATGTAAAGAAACTAAAACAAGACAAACAACTGTAAATGCCCCTCCAAAGTCCTATCTGGTGAACATCTTTCTCAAGCTGCCTCTGGTCATAACACTGGCACTTGGGGCTATCACCCTGTCCAAGGTTGGTCTGGGCGCCCACTCCTTTGCACTTTAATAAAATAAGCTTTCCCAAAAAACACACGTGAATTTTTTCAGGATCAAAGAATGCAGAAGTCTGCTTTGCTCTCATTTTATCACTAGGCTTCCAATATGATGAGAAAGCAGAAGAAACCTTCTACATAAATCTCGCCCAAACAAGAAAAGCAAGTGGGCTAAAATTTCTCTAGTATTCTTTTCAAAATTACCCAGGTATAATGAGAAACCTCTTCTTGTAATATTGTCACTAATCCCAAGTCAATATAAAAAAAGAACACAGAAGTCTGGATGAGTGAGAAAATGACAGTTTGCCATCCCCCAGCAGGATGCGTGGGGGTAAGCTGTGGCCACACAGGCGGCAACTGGCAGTGAGCAAGTCTACGTACCACGTCCACACCACTCCCGATTTAGTGAGCGCCAGGGAGAACTGGGCCCCACACTCAATCTGGCACACACCCTGCCCGTTTAGTCTCTCGATGTTCTGGGGAATGTTGCAGCCTTCACTTCCTCCCCGGCCCAATTTTCCGAAGTCGCCATCACCCCAGGAAAACACCAAACCTAGGGTTGAAAACAACAGACTTCAGGCCAGCGTTTCATAACATTCCTACACACCCAGAAACTCAGAACCATGATGGGCACTCACCTTCATCGGTCAGAGCCAGGGTCTGTGCATCTCTACTTCCACATGCAACCTGGATTACTCTGTGACCAAGAAGGACTTTCACCTACACAATTACAAATTTATAAACAGAATCAAGTGTAGGTATTGAGAAAGTAAAGGAAATTTTTCTTCCACAGATTGAAAGCCAATTTTGTACATCTTTATGAAATTTACTAGACTTTCAGCTTATCTTCTCTTGAAATCACCAAATGGTAAGCTTTCTGTAAGCAACAAAAATGTGTATAATCACCATTTTGGGCTTCAGCTGTGTTGTATTGTCCCCATGTCCCAGCCGGCCATACTCTCCAAGGCCCCAGGTGTACAGTTCACCGCTAGATGTGAGGGCTGCACTGTGCGAGCTCCCACAAGCAATATCCCGGATCCGCTTGGTTTTCAGGGCCTCTATCAGCCTTGGCTTGTCACAGTTCCTAAAACAAGATTAAATCACACTCCCTACATGATCGATCCATCCTTTTGTAAAGAAGGAAAAAAGACACCCATGATGATCCACCTTGATTCAACACAAGATCTACATGTCAACTTAACTATCAAAATGTTAACACAGAATATTTAAGACCAAAGTACATTTATCCACAGTTTAAAATTTTTTTTAAAAAATCCATTTCCTTAAATAACCTATCCTATTTCAATTTCCTGCAAAATAACTATCAAAAGGCATTCACTATTAAATAATCAGTGACAGTTTTTAATTAGAAAGTAAGACTGAAGGAAATATTCTTACATTCTGCTGAAGTGTCCAAGTTTTCCATCGTCACCTTCACCCCATGAAAACACTTTCCCATCAACCGTTAGAGCCATAGCATGCCGGCCACCTGCAACATTCACATAGGGACGGGTTGCCCAAGGGCAGTGTACAGAAAGTTCCCCATATAACTACTTATTTTGCTTGGCATGTGGGATGTACTCAATAAATATATGTTGAATAAATGAGTAAACAGGGCCAACACTTCAGTTACTATGAAAGCTTTCTGGGTGACACATGGGCAAAACAAGTGAACTTTTATTAAACTACAAATCTGAACTCTAGAAAGAGGAAGGCAAAATAATGCTAAACATGAATGGGGTTCCTGTTATGCTATAAAAGATCAAAATTTAGAAAAAGTGAAAATAAGTACACGTGTGATTAGGCAAATTTTCAAATACAGTGGCAATTTTAGCTTTTGAAAAATGTACCCCAACAGTGAAACAATTTAAGCAAAAGAACCATCATTTGCATTTAAGGCATTACACTCACTCTTTCTACAGCACATCACCCCATGCTCTCTGCCCAGCATGGAACATCCTCCCAGTCCATACACCCCACCTCAGGACTAAGGAATGACTTCTTGTTACACATCAAGCCCTGCCAGCTCCTGGGCTCTGAGGACAGTGTGGCATACCCCCTCTTCCTTACCAACAGAACCCTCATATTATCAGGGGAAACAACATGCTCAGCTAAAACCTATACTTCCCAGCCTCCCTTACCCACAGAAGACAGTGACCGAGGCACAAAGAAGGTATGTGAGGTTTCCAGGGGCTCGGGAGAAGGCTGTGTGGGCTGGAGGACACACTGAATGGGACCGGCCTCTTCCTCCTGGAACTGGCTCTGGACCTGAGGGCAAGAGCCGCAGGGCCTTCTTCCCACACAGGTGGATGGTCAGAGCCAGCTTCTCATGGACACAGCACTGCTAGACAGGCCCAGATCCCAGCCCCAGACTTTTACAAAGGAGAAAAGCAAACTTCTATCTTGCCTAAGCCACTATAGTTTGGATTTCCTGTTATATGGCTTTACATCTAACCCCATTAGGTACAGGCATAAACTGAGCTTTGTGTTCCATTCTTCACAGGCCCAGCACACAGCTTCTAAATATTACTCAATAAAGGTTCCCTAAATTGAATGAGTATGATTTTTTTTTTTTTTAAAGGATATGTCTCATGACTGTGGTTCACAGACACTTTTGGGAATCTGATGAAAAGTTACAGACTACTTCACCAGGGTAATAACATGTGTTTAGGCACAGAACTTTGATTTCAGATACTATGGACTGAAGACTACAGCTCCAAGACTGAAAACCCCACCTTTTGAGGGGTACACCTCCATGTCTGAAATGCCAACAACTGCTAGTCTCCAAAAACCTCATTTAGTAGCAGTAATTCTAGACCACCCAGATATTTACATTATCCAATTTTTATTCCCATTAGTTAAGTAAAAACTTGAAAAGGAACGCAAGGACACCTTAGGGAAAATTATTTAAGGGACTTAGTTATTTGCAGCGTAGAAGCAACAGGCTTATCTGCACAAGAGAGCTGATGCTGGGCTTGTACCTGAGTGAACAGCCACCTTCTTGACCACGTAGCTGCTGAGAGCCGTGATCTGCCGTGGGATGGGCACCGTTCCGCTTGACATACCCAGGCCCAGCCGGCCATTAGTGGCTTCTCCACAGGCATATACCTTCCCTTCCACAGTCACTGCCAGGAAGGAGAGTCAGGAGAGGGCTCACTTTTCACAACTCAAAAACTATTTTTGGGGGGATGCTAACTAAGAATAATTTTTTTTTAAATTTAATGTTAGAATAATCATACCTGCAAACAAACTTTTAGAACCACCAGCCACCTGTACCACATTCAAGGCAGACAGAGTCTCAGAGAAAGAAGGAACCTTTATCTAGAATAGGATATTTTTTTAAAAGCAAAAGAAGGAAAAAGATTATTTTATTTGCAATTTTAAAATTATAAAGACCTTATTAGATGACACAATAAATTACTGTTAATTTGTATGGTTATAGTAACCAAAGGAATTCTTATCTCTTAGAGATACACATTAAAGTCTTTTTTTTTTCCTTTTTTTTTGTCTTTTTTCGTGACCGGTAACGGGATTGCAACCCTCGGTGTCGTGCCTGTACCGCAACTGGCTACGGGATCGCAACCCTCGGTGTCGCGCCTGCACCACGCTCAACCAGTGAGCAGACTGGTCTCTATATGGGATCCGAACCCTCGGCGGGAGCGCCGCCACACTCCCAAGCGCCGCACTCTACCGAGTGCGCCACTCGGCGGGCCCTACACGTTAAAGTCTTTTAAGGATGAAATTAAATACTGAGATTTACTTTAAAATAAACCAGATTGGTGGGGGAGCAGGGGGGTGGAGGATAGAAAATAAAGACAAAAAAACGTAGCCAGTTGTTGGTAACTATTGAGGTTGGTATCAGGGACAAGAGGGCTCATGACCCTCTTCTTTCTACTTGAATACGTCTAAACATTTCCAAAATAAAAGGTGAAAGATAAAATACACATAACATAAAAACAAATATCTGGTAAGTTATATTTTATTTCAAGTCACGTCCTGCTGATTCTCTTTGATTCTGACTCTGGCATCTCTAAGAAATTTTATGCTTAAATTTCCCATTGTAGATGGGTGTGATTTAATTTAAGATCTTTACAGCCCTTTGTCTAAGAAGGTCTTGATGATTCCATGTGTCAGAAATGATCAGGCAGTCACTACTGCAGTGCAACACCAACTGTTGCTCCTGTGAAAAGCCTGTGTGGGACAGGGAGCAGGGGCGGGCTTCCAACGACACATGCATTCAGAACCCCAATGGCCCTGCACTACCACAGCTGAGACGCCACCACTTACAGCCACTTCCAAGAGGGAGCGCAGGCGCTTGAGAGCACAGGTGTAATTCAAGGCTGATCACATAAAGATAAAACTAGCTGCACCTTAGAAGGAAAGAGTTCTAATAATTGAGTTCTAAGCTTACTTCTCTGCTTCTGGACAACACTGGTGACAAGGCACTTATGATGGGTGATGCCTCGCAGAATACTGAAAGAGCAGCTAGGCGCATCTGAAGAAAGAAACTGGCTCTGGGCACTACAGTTTGGACGAATCTGTTTTGTGGCTCCTCAGACAAGAGACACTGAGTAATGTAAGGGACATTGACTTGAACTCTAGTTCAAATGCACCATTTGTTATATCTAGGCTTTAAGAAAAAATCTGGCCTTTTTCTCGTAAGCAACTTAAAATACTTTACAAATTAAACTTTCATTCAAGTATCTATGGAGCTAAGTATGTTACGAGCACAGAGGCTGTAACACAGATTTCCCATGGTTTCCTGACTTATTAGCAAGGTGAATAAGAACATGAAGGTCTCCACCCACAACACAGTCCTCACAGAAGATGAGTGTGTGTGTGTGTGACTTGTCTCTGTGCTCATGAAGCATTCTCTGTCTACGGAGGCCATTTCACGCTGAAGTATCTCAGGCATGAGCTTCTAGAGGGCAGAAATCACCTCTTGCTTGTCTTCCCACCTTTATTACACATTATTTTGTTCATGGTAAGCAAAGATGCTTATTGTACCGAAGGTAAGATAAATGTATTTATAGTCTACAATTTTCATCTACATACTTGTCAAATCTTTTTAAAAGTCTATTTTCTAGTTTATAGGACAGCAATAATGCAACTACATCTAAAATGCACTATTTTCGAATGACGGAGACTTCTCAGAAACTAAATTTGATAATTAGCTCATGTCAAGAATTACTTTTGAAAAGTTAACTTAAAAAACAACATATAGAAGGTAAAAACTATTATAAAAACTTCAAAAGAGGTGTAGCTGTTGCTGAGCCTCTTGTGGACAGAGGAACCAGCAAAAGCTCCCCCACAGTCACATGGAACAGGTGTGCAGAGGAGATACCTTGGAGCCTTTCAGCCCGCCCAGCTGGTCCTTGTCATTCAGCCCCCACACAAACACTTTGGTTCTTACTGTAGCTGCCGATTCCACTCCTGCAGCCTTCTTTCTAACAAGGCTAACCAAAGAAAAAAACAAAGACAGAAACAGAGGTTATTCAGCAAAAAACATTTAAAAGATAAAAAGGTAAGCAATCTCAAGCACTCAAAGTTTGCTGGTTAAAATCAGAAACTCTTAATGTTTTGCTTTAATATAATAAAACCTCAAGTATGCACAGGAGTAAGTGCTCCAGGGGGCCAAAATTTTTAAACACCAGCATGCCACCTTTTCATACCAGAATTCAAATTTACCCTTCTATTTTTGGCAAAGATCTATGATAGACTATGCATTCTTTCTTCCTAAATACCAAGTTGAACATAACTGGCTTGATGACTCGGAGTGACTGCCGCCCATTACCACGATGTATGCATGGCTGCCATGAATGGAGCCACAGAGACACTGGGGAAATGTCCCCAGGAACCACCACTGCAAACGGCCTTGCGGCAATGCCCCTAAACCTAAACATTTGTTTGGTCATTTTTTCCCCAAAAAAGAATAGATGTGGCGTATGACCTTAGAGGTCCTCTAGCAGACATACATCCTGAGGCAAAATGCTACTTTCTTCCCTTACACCCTCTGCCGGCACAAGCCAGACACCTGACTGTGGGCCAGCTGGGCCCTTGTTCGGCCCATCTTCTGACTTGCCCTTGGGGCTGAAAGTTTAACCAACGGGGGCCAAAGCACTCCAACTCTTGAGCTTAATGAAACCACAATGTGTGTAGGACAGTGTCAGATTCCCTTGGTTGGTCACTTGACAGCAGGTGCTAAGAAACTGCTCCTTTTGTTATTTGTGGTTTTTGGTTTTCTGACAGCTTTAGTTCTATTTTTATAAGCTAGGGTGATGACTGAAGGCTCCAGAGACTAAGTTCTAGATCAGTAAGATTTTTTAACACATTATATGCTAATGAATATTTGAGGCATCAAAATTTTATGGTTTAGGAATAAAAATATAGGAAAACTCTTTCAGCTGATACCAGGCACAGGAGAGTAAGCACATGCACAAGGTATTAAAATACCTGGGAACACATTTTTAGTCAAAAAACATATATGGGAGGGAGGGCCGGCCTGTGGCTCACTCGGTAGAGTGCGGTGCTGATAACACCAAGGCCACGGGTTCGTATCCCTATATAGGGATGGCTGATTAGCTCACTTGGGAGAACGTGGTGCTGACAACACCAAATCAAGGGTTAAGATCCCCTTACCGGCCATCTTTAAAAATATATATATATATATATGGGAAACCAGGAGTGACAGTTAAGATATTTAATGACTAATACCATATAAGTTTCAACCATCGGAATGGAGGCTGGTTATTCGAGGTCAATGTGGGCACATCCCAACTGTGTTCCAGCCCTGTGGGAGACTGCTTGGACCACTGACTCATCCTAAAGTTATTAGCTAATTAATAATATCTTACAGGAAAGAAACCATTACATTCAAATATCTAGAATTTCTTTTGTTAGTGTATTCAATTATGTAAAAATCTGATCCATGAGTAAAGCTCAGAATTTTGTTGGTTATTTCACATTACAGTACATGTATTAATTATATTTGCCCAACTCATTTTAGTAGCTACTGAATAAGAAAATGCTAATCTATAATCCTTTCTACTAAAAACCCTGATGATCTCCTTAAGTGAACTGATAGTACTCTTACTTAATTAATGTATGTAGATGCAATCAGTGTGAACTACTACATATATTCGAGATAAGGAAGTATTACAATACTAACTTCTTTTCAACTTCTATGCAAAGGTTCTGAACTAAAACAGCACAAAATCTAAACCCCAGATCATAGAGCCCTGGAATAACTTCATTTATTACCACAGTTGCTTCCCACTCATGACCAAGAGAAAGTGCTTCACAGCAACACAGAGCAGGGCTCCACTGTGTCCATATGTCACAACACACTGGAAGGCACATGGAGCAAAGAGCACCTTGGTCAACAAAGCTCAGCTGGCACTGGCCACTGGTGGCCTCACTCGCAATCCAACAGTGCCATGGGGATGTCGAAACATACTAATATATGTTAGTATGACCCAATTTCACTTTGACCCAATTTCACTTTCAGCAATTTATGTAGGAAAATACAACTTACATGAGGACAGTGTTTGCATACCCTTTGACCCAATTTCACTTTCAGCAATTTATGTAGGAAAATACAACTTACATGAGGACAGTGACTGTATATATTGTTTGCTGCTGGGATGGTAAACAGGGCCTAGAATAGCCCCTGCACATGTGTAAGTCTGTATTGGAATAAATACACAAATGTGCACAGACTAACAGGTATCATTCTTCTTCCCTGGTATATGCTACTCCTCCTATAAAAAACACCCTTGCCTGCCCACTGTGCTTTGACAACTCTGACTTTTCCCGTAAGGATGGTCTGTGTGGAAGTTTTCCTTGTTGTCCTAACAGCAGATCAGTGCTCTGCTGTAGACTCTCAAAGCAGTGTGCACTTTTCCTTCCTGCCACTTACTGAGCTGTAACGTCATGCTGGTGTATGTGAGTCTGCCCTATTTTATTCCACATGCTCACTACAGTGTCCTCAGTACATAGCACAGGGACTGGCCCACAGCAGGTGCTCAACAGATATATGTTGCATGAATAAATACAGTAATGGTCATCACCACAGTGCTCATAGAAAATAAGGAACTGAGCGAGTAAATGAGAATCCAGCCATCAGGTGAAATACTGCACTCAAAACGACACAACAGGAGATATTTAATGACATGGGTATTCTAGAGATGGACGGTGGTGATGGCTGCACAACAATGTGAATGTACTTAATGCCACTGAGCTGCACGCTTACAAATGGTTAAGATGGCAAATTATATGTTATGTGTATTTTACCATAATAGAAAATTAATAAATAAATTTTGTAAAGTTAATGCTAAAATATTCAGCAGAAAAAGTTATAAAACATACCATACCATTTTCCTAGGAAAATACATTTATGGACAATACTACAAGGACATTTACCCGAATAGTAACAGTAATATTTCAGGTAGGAAAATTAAACATTTCGATTTCCCTCTTTTAATGGTATTTTTCTTAATATAATCTGTTGCTACACTAAACATTTTCTTAGAAATAAAAGTTAAATTATAATTCTTAAAAACTCAGCTAAAATTTACCAAACATTCCTGTGGATATAAAACTACTCATTATGAGATACACTCTAATGAAATATTTACTTTTGAAAGTGAGAATTTTCAATTAGGCAGAGACAAGCGAGTACCACGAGCAAACAGCTCCCACCTTCCACTGCCGCCTTTATCATCTTCTTCCTCTTCATTATCTGAAGCTAAGAAAGGAACTGCAGCCAAGTCTTCCTCCTCTGCACGGATCCGTCCCAACAGGATAAGACCATGGATTTTACAGTCAATTCCTGAGCTCCTGCACTGCTTTATTGCAATTTCAATATACCTGTGGTACTAGATGCAAAAACAATGAGCTACAGCCTTTTCAGAGTCAAACACATTAGATACTTCAGCTGGAGAGCAGGGCATTTGATAAATGGAGTAGGTGAAAAGATAAGAGCTCCTTCTCTGAACTTCTGGAAGTACCGAGTCATTCAGTTAGTGCAGCCACATAAAGAAGGTTTGCCTTCAGAAGAAGGTATTTACTCATCACATGTGTCTGCCCAGGGCATGCAACTCTCACAGGATGACAGCCTTACTGAACGGCTGCAAACCTTTCTGTCTGGGAGCTTTCTTGAACCAAGATGTGTTAAGTAAGAAAGAGATTAAATATTAGGTAGTTGCAGAGCCTTCATAATTTTAAAAACATAATAAAAAGTATTTGAATATACACAAATTAGAGAATATGCACAAAGAACTCCAAGACCCCATCGTCTAGTTCAACAATTATCAACATATGACCAATCCTGTTCACATATAGATTATCATAAGAAAAGTCTAGCCATTAATGTTGCTTCAAAACTTCAGTATGTATACCTGATTAAGGACCTTTTTTTTTTAACATATCTAGACTACTGTTATAACAGCTCAAACAATATTTCTATATTAACTAATATGCTACAGCGACTAAACTTTTCTGATCATCTCATAAACGTCGTTTCTCTGTAGGTTTGTTTAAATTGGGACACAAACAAGATCCAGCCTCCCTCTGTGGTGCCTTTGTCATTCTCTTGTTAAAGTCAGTCTGTTTGTCCTGCACATGCTGCACACCCTTCTTGAGCAGACTGCATTCTTGTCATGGCACTGACAATATTCCTCTACCCCTGCATCTCGTGTGAACAAAGAGTGCAGCAGGAAGATCACAGCACTAACAATTACTTATTACCTGAACTGACTCTGACCAAACCTCAAGATTTACCTATCCCATAGGAAATACAGGTTGAACAACATTATGGAGATGAAAAAGCCAAGTTGAGAAAATGAGAAATTCTATAGAAAAAATGACCCCGTTTCTTTTTCCTTTAGCAAGGAAAAACCAAGAAAATTAAGACTTAAATGCAGAGCAAAGTACAGGCATTGTCTGAATCACGATTCACACAAACCAACAGCAAAAGGACCATTTATGGGGCCGGCCCGGTGGTGCACTGCTACAGTGCGCCGCTTGGGAGCATGGTGGCGCTCCCGCCGAGGGTTCGGATCCCACATACAGACCGGTTCCCGCTCACTGGCTGAGCGAGGTGTGGGTGCGACGCGGAGGGTTGCGATCCCGTTGCCGGACACGAAAAAAGACAAAAAGGAAAAAAAAAAAAAAGGACCATTTATGGAATAACTGGGAATATCTGAACACTGACTGGACTTTAGATGATATTAAAGAATAAGTATTAGGTGTGATAATGGTATTGGAGTTATATTTTTTTATGTCCTTCTTAGAGAAGAATACTGAAGTAAGTGCTACTGATTTAAGATCATGTCTAGGACTTGCTGGGGGTGGGAGATAAGGTGGGAGGGAAGGCATGAAGGGAGAGGGCAAAACGTGGCTGCTGCACTGTTGATGCAAGTAGAAGAGTGGGCGTTTCACGGACTTTCTGTCCACTTGGAGATATGTTAGAAGATCCCCTACACAAGCTGTGTGTATGGGAAAGGCCACACTAGAGAGCCCAGCATCCCCCCCAAGAGTGGCACACTCCAGGTCTCCAGTAGGTAGGGAACGGAGGATGGCCATGAGTTTTCCATTTACTCACAACGCTTCGCGTTTTTCAAATACACAACATATGCTATTTTGTACTTATCAAACACTACAGAATTTTTTTTTTTTTTTTTTTTTTTTTTTTTTTTTTCCT